TCAAAAGGTCAGGGTCAAAGTCATAGCGATAGGGTCTTAAAATCTCTGCAACCACTAGTGGTAGAGGGTAATTTTGGTGCATATTTGTTCAGAACATCCTATCTTTATCTTTTTGCACTGTTTTATTCTAACCCTTACATTTGTCACTTGCCATGCTTAGAAGCTTCCCGTGCTTTGCCGAAGCATAGGCCATATATCAAAGATGTGCCTCCTAATATTTATTGTCAATCTATGGAGAAGTGTGCGTGTGAGGACCAATTAAAGTGATTTAAGATCAAAACAGTCTACACGGGATATTTCAAAAACCGGTCAGTTGATTGGAATAAAACTTACGGGAAAGTTTAATCAAGTTACTAGGAAGAAATTTTGATGTGTTAGTGACGATCCAGTGAAGGGTGTAAATTTGAGGATCTTTTCAATTTTTGTAAAAAATACTTTGTAAAGTTTTAAATATTTTTGTAACGATCTGCAGTATGGTGTGGATCAGAGGACCATTTAAAGTAAACGTCCCAGACCACATATTTCGAAACGGATCAACTGATCTGAATGAAACATTCATAAAAATGTCAACCAAGTTACAAGGAAAAAATTATTATGTGCTTGCGACGAATCAGTTAAAGGTGTAAATGGGAGGGTCATTTCAATTTTTTTAGGACCCAGACCTAAATATGTCTTTAAAAAACTCAATAGGTATAATTTAAACCTTGTATAACAGTTTTTCAAGGTCGAGTAAAAAATTATTAAATTTCTGTGACGATCCAGAGTAATGTGTAGACCTGAGGACCACTTAAAGGAAAACGTCCCAGACCAAATATTTCGATAACGGATCAACTGATTTGAATGAAACATTCGGAAAAAGTTTAACCAAGTTACAAGGAAAATAGTATCATGTGTTTGCGACGAATCAGTCAAGGGTGTACACTGGAAGGTCATTTAAATTTTTGAGATCCCAGACGTAAATATCTATACAAAGATTTCAATGGGTGTAAATGTAACTTTTTATAACAGTTTATAAAGGTCCAGTAAAGAAATGAATTTTTTTTCATTTCATTGAATCGCTATGAACTGAAAATGCACTTTCCTATTCAAGGTCGTCGTCGTCGTATTATTATTATTCACAATATTGTTATTTTTGTTACTATTGGTATTATTGTGATAAGGGGCGTGGTCCTATTTGAAAAAAATAAGCTTATTTACATATTAACCAAACATGTCACCAAGGTTTGAATTCTGACATTTTTCCCTTCTTTTTGTTCATTAATAAAAGAAAACACTTATTTGCATTGTGTTTAGATTGTCTTTAAAGCACCTTAACAAATAAAAAATGGTCGTGGCAGTTTTTAAGGTTGTTGTCATTTTAGGGTATTTGTTAAATACAGATTTTCTTGGGTTAAATTAACCATAATAACAATAATGAAATCAGAATAACCAAGACCTAACATCACTACATTCGCATTTTGTGAAAAAAAAATCATCCCAATACTACTAAGTTGGTTCTCATAACACATAAGAGGAATTAACTAGTGTGAAAGATATTAATTACGTTTACAACCTCATAATAAATAATAAAGCTATATTATTATTATTATGATTATTATTATTATTATTATTATTATTATTATTATTATTATTATTATTATTATTATTATTATTATTATTATTATAGTTTTAAAAGTTATTTTTCTGTTATATACAAGTAAGGTGTTAAAATACCGGGACAAATGGTTCAGGAGAAAAATCAAAAGAGCCAGAGAAATTTCCAAGGATAGATTAGGCCTAGTGGGAAAAAAAGCATTGGAAAAATAGCCTTTTCCGAAAAATAATAATATGTATGCTGTTTAATGGTAATTGACAAAACTACACTTTTAAAACAGTTTAAAATCAAAACAACAGTTTTATTTTGTCAATGATTATTTAGCGTAGTTGTTATAACATCTGATTAATATGACAGTTTGAATAATAGTTATATGTTTTTAAAACGTAAAATAAAATTAAAACTTACCATCATTTGAAGAAGGCGTAGAACTACTTCTTTGTGAATTGCCGTTTTGCACTTTACCTTCTTTGCAGTTTCCTATACAAAAAAGAGATGACAGAGTAGAATTGGAATATGTAGGTATCTAATAAATCAAAAGATCTCAGAAAAAAACTGTTCATGTTTTCTAAAACACAAGCGATCTTAATAATAACATCAAAGTGCAATATGTGATGTACTCGAACTTAAAATGACTTCTTTTTCTTTGGGCATGAACTTCTAAAAATAGAAACAATAATACATTTTTTTCCTACTAAGAGTTGAAACATACAAACGCTACTAAACTTCGCCGAAATAAGAATATAAAATAAGAAGATAAAGCCAGCAATATTTGATAATGAAAACGTTAAAATTATTTTGTAGAACCATAATACTTACTTACAACGTAATTTCGAAACTACATAACGTTTGAACGTTAAATTCAGAAAATAAAGACCAGTGAATTTTATTAGGAAGCTGAAAATGGGCAGAGAGTAAAGAGTGAGAAGTTGACTCTACAGCTCATCATTTTTACACTGCACTGCTTTCTTGTCTCCTTAATCAAAATATAATTAGATGTAATTTATAAAGTGTAATAATTTTTCAACCTTTAAAAACTTAAGCAAAACCCAGGCTTTCATATGTTTTATCAAATTAGTTCATTTCATTCTCATTTACTTTGTTTTTATTTTTTTGTTTATTTAATCTACTTGTAAAACCAGTGGTCCGTCACTGAAAGTGCTATTAATTTTTTTTTTTTTTTAAACACAGAATAGTTAATAAATATAACTGGTTTAGAAAATAGAATTTATAATTGCATTGCTATTGCAATCAGATACAATGTAATAATAATTAGATAAAACGTACAGGTAATTTTATTTAAAAAAAAAACAGGCAACATCCAATGAATATTGTAGAATAACGTTCATTTTATATTGTTAATAAATGTTATAAATTGTAACTCTTTTCCTCGCATTTCATTCATGTTTGGTTTTCTAAAAGGACGAAGGGCCAAAGTATTATTTTTGATTTAACACCAAGGACTGCACCTAATTTTCTTTTAGAACTAGAGTACATATATGGTGTACCGCAAGCATTTATATTTTTTTTTCCTGTTAATTGTTACATCATAAATTCAATAAATAATAGTACAGGAGAGGAATACAATACTACAGTAACATAAGCCACCAACTCCCCGCATAAAAACACCATTCCACATATACTATACTGTCAAAAGTATGTTTAACATTGAACACAGTCTTAGGGCCGAATATAATTTTATTTTTAAACAATATTATGGACACATAATTAACAGTCCTAGCGAGTTATATCTGCCGACTGTATTACGATAACCACAGAGAGGTGCGCAACTCTAGGTCTCAAGGCTAACGCTCTAGTCTAAACGCTAACGCTGAGTTGGTCTCTGAGTTGGAAGAGACAGTCGATGGCTTTTTTGGTAGCCCCCAATGCTTGCCTTTGGATGGTGTGCCACTTGTTGGTTTTTATGACTGATATACATAGTTGTAGTGTGTTGTCTTTTGCGGTTTCGTGTTCTATCTCTTCAATGGTGAGGGATCTTGGAATTGAATTTGATAGTGTGAGATGAATATACTCTTCTGCCATTCGTTCCTCTCTGCTGGATTCTTTAGTCAGTGGCAATGGGTGGCGGGATATATTATTTTTTCCCATACAGTTCAGGCAGAAACTATAGAGGGCACTATTTAATGAATAATGCATACGTGCTTGACAATTCTTCTTGCGAGTCTCGAAAGTGGTGTGGTGTTGACTGCTTGTTAGGGCATGGAGAAGTTAGTTTCGAAACTAAACTAATTCCTTCATGGTTAGGATAGGCTAAAATCTCTTGGTAGTCGGTCGAGAGGAAAGTGTATACAAAGTGAACTATCGTAATTGACTATTACTGTAATTACAATATCCCTATACCTAGGCAGTGTTTAGGTATATGGTCTTTGAAAGTATAAAAAAAAGCAGCGTTGAATTTCTGGTCGATTATTTGAGTAGTGTAAAGTATAGCAATAAGTAACAGCTATACTACTGATTCTAAAGGATAAACGTTTAGAAAGGCTCGGACACACAGGTACAATTCTATGTATTGTTTTAAATTAATGTTGACTTCTTACAAACATTTCGTTCATATTCAACAATGAATAGAGGCAGGTATATTATAAACACTAATTTTACGATATTCTATACACATGATATGACGTACTGCTTTAGCTGTGTCTACCCAATTAAATATTGAATAGCTTTATATTTAAAACAATCAAAATCAGATGGAAGTAAAAATAGCTTGCATTGATTCACAGACGGTTCTACAAAAATCCTTAAATGTTACCGACGAATCAATCATGCAAAAGAATACAGAAACGCTCACTGTCTGTTAATAGGCAGGGGTTTTTTTTTCTTTAAAAAAAAAGTTTAGTTGTAAAATTGTAAGTTAACTGTCCAAAGTACTAGTAATTTGTTTCTAAACGTCCTTCAGAATTAGTACTACTAAGTAATAGGGAGCATACTGCTACAACACACACGTCATACTGTATAAGCCTTGAACTGTAGGCCTAGGCCTACTCAAATACGGTGCCCGATTCAATATTAGTCTACTCCATTTTTTTATACGTTCGAAGACTATGCTGTAAGCCTAGATAGAATGTGTCTAATCTAGTACTACAATTTTTACACTATCTTGACTACCACGGCTTATTTAAAATATTTTGGCTTAGCGACTCCGTAGCGTTCATCCAAGCATAAAACTCGATAGACCACTGACTCTGTTTCGCAAGGGGGAGTCTGTATGCATATTCATGTCTATCAGTTCTCATAACTGACCTAAAATAGTACCCTCTATAATTTCTGCAGCAACTGTATGGGAAAAAATAATGCTGGCGGGATATATAGCCCGCTAGGTTGACTTTTCCTGGTTGGTATTTTAATGTGCAGTCGTAATCTTGTAGTCTCATGAGCCAGCGTTCTATGCGCAGTGGTGGTTTGGAAGTGGCGTTGTTAAAGAGAGGTATAAGCGGTTTGTGATCTGTAACAACCTCAAATTGTCCTCTGTACAGGTACATGTGGAGTGTTTTATTCCCCATGTAACGGCCAAGGCTTCCCGTTCAGTTTGTGAGTAGCGTTGTTCTACTTGTATCAATGATCTGCTGGCCAGTGCCACCAAGACTGATTTATCACCATCCTGTTGGGCTAACACTGCACAAAGGCAGGCATTAACAATTACCTCTGTGTGGAGTTGCTTGTTAAAATAATAAATGCTAGATTACAATGTTCTGTGATCGAATCTTTGATTGCTTGAAGAGCGAATGCATGTGGTTCTTCCCACATCCATTCTAATTCAGCTTTGGTATGCACTGCGAGCGGTTATGTGAGTGTTTAGGTATGAAGCGTGAACAATAAGTAGCAGGCCCTAGGAGGCTTCTAACCTGTTCTTTATTGGTTGGTGGTGTTGCATTTTGCAATGCCTTAACTTTGTCTGGACTTGGGGAGATGCCACCTGAATGAAACGCATGCCCAAAGAACTCAACAGTATCTTTGTTGAATTCGCAAGTTCTTTTGTTCAGAGTCAAGTTCTTCTCCCTCAGCCTCTGACAACAGTTCTTAAGATTTTCGTTATGTTCCACGTAGTTTATGCCATACACCAGGATGTCATCTGATAGGTTGATCACACCAAAAAGACTAGCTAGCGCAGACTGGATTAGATTTTGGAATTGTTCCGCTGCACTGTTGACCCCAAAGTAAAAGCGTCTAAACTGGAACAGACCATCGTGCGTTGAAAATACAGTCAGGAACCTGAATGAATCGTCTAGCTCTATTTGATGATACCTATTCTTTAGATCAAGTTTTGAAAATACTGTTGCGTCGTTGAGGCTAGCAGTGATGTCGTCAGTTGTTGGCGTGACATGGCTCTCTCGCTGGATAGCTTTCTTTGGAGCTCTCATGTCTATGCAGAGTCTGATTTCGTCCAGACTTTTTGGCTTTTTTACAACAGTGATGAGTGAAACCCATGATGTTGGCTTATCAACCATCTTTCGATGACATCCAAATCTTGGGAGCATTTTAGTTCTGCTTCTACCCTTTTCTTACTTGGAACGGTATTCGTTTATGTGGATTTGTTACTGGTTAATACGTCTTTATCGACGTAAAGTTTGCACTTAAAATATGTAAGTTTGCTTAGCCCGTTAAAACGATCACTGTAGCTTTCAATGAATTCTTCAACAGTTTTGTCTGCATCAACACTTAACGCAACATGTATGTCAATTACGTGGAGTTTCTTGGCACTCGTGAAACACAACAGAAACTCCTTCACAAACTCCTTCACAAAATTGAAACCGTACAATGTAGAAAGTGTCAGTGGTATGAATACCATTACAGTAAATGATTACATGGATTTTCCCAAGTGTATCAAGCTCTTTCTTAGCACCATATTAGGCCCGTAGGCCGGGGGAGGGGGTGCAGAGGGTGCGGACGCACCTTCCAAAATTCCAAAAGGTCCACTTTTAAAACCTATGATTTTAAAAAATCGAAATCGTTCCTAATTATCACAAAACGCTTTAGCATGCATTGCATTGTATATTTGCCAGCTTATCTAACCGTTGTTTTTTAATAATGTGGTATGAAATTTGTTAGACATTTATCGTCTCCGGTGATTGCAGATTGATCTATATAATATGAAGAATGTTATCTATAGGCCTGCAGATGTACAGGACATAATAACGTTACTTTTTCAGGTCCCAAAAACACCCAAATTAATGAAAATTTAAATGAAATATTCATGAATTATGTGTTTAAGAAATCTATTATGTAAGAACCTCAAAATGATACTTTGTCGCTTTTCTCACAAGTCCCCTCTAGGCCTCTACCCCGGGACCACCAAATTTCAAAAAGTCCACTTTTTAAAACCTATTATTTCACTAAAGTTGTTCTTAACTATCGCGAAATGCTATAGTATGCATTACATCTTTTTGCCCGTTCTTCTACCCGTTGATTTTTAATAATTTGCTACGAAATCTGTTGGAAATTATCAGCTCCAGTGATTGCAGATTGATCCATGTTATTTGTAAGCCTACAGATGTAAAGGACATGAAAAATTAAAATTTCACAGTGGTGGATTTAAGGGGGAGAGCCCCTAAAATTATAAATTGTCCCTAGACAATACTCAAATGATTGAAAATTTAAATAGGATATTACAAATCATGGATTTTAGAAATCCATTAAAAAAGGCCCTCAAAATGCTAATTTGTCAGAGCTTCCAGAAGATTCGCCTCACCCTCGCGGTGATCCCTAGGCAGTCGCACATCGTAAGGTCTACTTCGGTTGCAAAACACACCTCCCCATCGAAAATCCTGCATATGCAAAGATATTTGTGTTAGTGTGCTGTAATTGCGGTTTCGTTGTCAATTTGTTGTAGTGTTCCTCACTCATGACGTTTACCGACGCACCAGTATTATATAATTAGTTTCATTTTGTCTTTGTTGATTAGTATTTCAACGTGTGGTTGTTTCTCTTGTGAGTCAGGGGAGCTAGCTTTGATGATATACGCGTATTCTTCACTCGAATTGCTATCGCTGGGTGCAGTGTCTATGATTGCGTTTGTGCGTTGCATGCTTTTGTCCGACATTGACTTGCAAAGTTGTTTTTCTTTTGGCAGTGGGTGCAGACTTTTTCCAAACGCTGGGCACTCTTTGGGATGCGGATGATCTCCACCACAGTGATAACACACAACCAGGGACGTATCCAGGGGGCAGCCGTGGGAGCCGCCCCCCCCCCCCTCATTTGTACACAGTGTTAAAATTTTAAAGCTTATTCTTGAGCCAATACAAATTCTTTCCTGGGATCAATGAATACTTCTAAAACATGTAAATATGCATCAATACACGTTATACATAGGCCTATTAGAACACATAGGCCTAAGCGTGATTTAAAAAAGTCTTAAATCCATAAATCTCAGACCAGTTATTTTAAGAAAGAAATGCGATACTGTGGTTCAATTTCGTTTTTATCCTTTTGCAAGTTTCTTAAATTTTTTTTTTAATAATACTACTGCTAATAGTAATAATAATAATAACAATGATGATGATATGATGATGATAGTAATAATTGATAATAATATTAATAGCAATAAAAAGTGAAGAAAATTGTGCCTAATGCGTTGTGATTTGGTGATCATAATATAGTATATATAGTTAAAGCTTAGTAAGCTATAGTTAGGCCTAAGTTGTCCTGGATTCCGGTATTAAGTAGATCCCTGATAAAAGATAATGAGAAAATTGTTGGCGTTTCATTTTGACTACAATGGTGATGTGATGATGATGAATTTTACTATATAAAAGTCTCATTTCCGGCCATCTCGAGAGGTACTATTTCCTCAAACTTTCTCACCTCAGCCCAAGCCATGGTGGGGCTGAGTTGGTTGTGAAATAACGTTTTTGAAGTAGGCCTATGTAAAGTACATACTCAAAGACAATGTTTTTAAGCTTTGTTTTCTATGGTATATCACACACACATTAATAAAATCTCTATGGTTGTCAAAAATCCCTGATAAAAGATCTTTTTTTTTTTTTTGGCGCTTCATTTTGACTAATAGTGATGTGATGATGATGAATTTTACTAAAAATGCCATTTCTGGCCATCTAGAGGTACTATTTCCTCAAAATTTCTCAAAACCTTTCAAAACAGATCTGTGCCCTTCCCTGGGTATGACATTAAACTCCATCGAGTCGGCTCCTGATGTATGTCCTAGTGACTGCGGTTTGTTTTTAAGATGTGATCTGGTTTTTCGTGTCCATTTTTCGTGATTAAGACTATTCTGGATGAAGAATTTTTTGAGCAGAGGTGGATTCAAGATACCCCCCCCCCACTTCATTTTTTTAAGAAAAATATATTCAAATTGAAGTTCGAGAGTGTAATTTCCGGCCATCTAGAGATGCCCTAATCATAAATTGTCTTACCTCAACCCCAACCATGATGGGGCTGAGGTGGGTGGTTCCTCGGTCTGTGAAAGTCCCTCCCTGGTTCACCTCTCTTTCGAATTCTTGGATTTGCCAATGTTGATTTATTATATAATTATTTTTGCGCTTATTTATAATGCGTCTATTGCAATTTTCACTTTATCCTCTCAAACAGTCCTAAGAACGTTCAGAGTGCGCTACTTCACAGGGGGATTCGCCCAACAAACTGTTGGATTACTTTGTCAATGTTTGTCTTATCTCCTGATTCTTCCCAAACAAAACTGTTATATACATCAAGGTTTGGCTGGCCAACGAAAAAACGGAGCGTAGCAACTCGTTGTGGATCGTTTTTTCATTGACCCCTGTCGCCAGTTCAAAGTTTTCAAAGCGTTTTCGAAAGTTTCTCCAAGCCTCATGTAAGTAGCTGGCGGGACCTATTTGTTTCTAGCCGTACCTTTTGTGTAATAGAGTGTCTCTGGTGGTATTTGAATCTGTTCAACCATGAAGCCTCCGTGGTCTAGTGGTTATGACACTCGCCTTGACAGCGAGAGGTCGCAGGTTCGAGTCCCGCCAGAGGCATTTTATTACACATATATATACATATATATACATTCTTTATTCATTTATTTACAGGACTACATTCGTTGAGAGCTATGCTACACGATGTGTTTATTAAGTCCTTTATTCGAACACTGTATTTACCTTTCTTTGATGATTTATATATGATTTCACAGTGTTAACGGCTACCTTGATTTATTTTATATGCACCTATTTGTTTCTAGCCGTACCTATTGTGTAATAGAGTGTCTCTGGTGGTATTTGAATCTGTTCAACCATGAAGCCTCCGTGGTCTAGTGGTTATGATACTCGCCTTGACAGCGAGAGGTCGCAGGTTCGAGTCCCGCCAGAGGCATTTTATTACACAATTTCTTTATTCATTTATTTACAGGACTACATTCGTTGAGAGCTATGCTACACGATGTGTTTATTAAGCTATATATTTAGTTTAGTACAAGTTAGTTTTAACTATGAAACATAAGCGGCAATGTTATATACCTGTCTCTTATACACATCTAGATGTGTATAAGAGACAGATATATATATTATTATATTGATATACATCATGAATTGCCTCACTGCAAGAAGATCGTTTGGTTTTTTTTCTCAAAACAAGACAAACCGTTTCGTATCTTTTGAATTACTTCAAGGTTATTTTCTTCATTGAGGTATTTTTGATAGGTATATCAAAGATAGTCCGTACCATGGTGCTATGCTCTACAAAATTACTTTTGAAAATATATTTAAGAAGCAATTTTAATGTCGACTCGCACATTACTGTTTGATTCTTTAAAGTTGTTTAACTATTTTGTACACAATTTGAATGACGTTGTGTGAATACACTTCATCAATACGTCTTATTTTTCGAAGTCTTTTTCTAAACAGCTCTAAAATAGGCGGTGGAACAGTTTTGAGAGTGATCAATTACATTAGGACTAATGGGAGCGAAAAGCCCAACATGAGGCTAGTGGACTATAAAGATTCTGTGATAAGAAGCAGACATGATGTTCTGATACAGTAAATTTGGAGGGTCAATGGAGCCCTCCCCGGAAGATTTTTTTTTTGGGGTGCTCAGAAATGCACTTCAATGCATTCTGTGTGGTCTGATAATGACTTCATACATACAAATTAATTTATCTACAACAATTGTTTCTTATGCGTTTCATTAATTTCAGATAATGCAAATAGGCCCGTTAGTGAAGCACAATGCTGCTTCTCTTGAAGGTGTTTCACTATTTGTGTTAGGTTCTCATGGTTCGTCGGGGGTTTATTATTAGTTTTAGTGAAAAATCTTGTTCGTTTTGTATACAGACCCGTATACAATGGCGTTCAATATTAACTTTATACTACGATAGATAGATTCCTGTTTTTCCTAATTTCAAAAAAAATATAGTATGTGCAATTGAATGTTATATAGTAAACAATACTTATACAGCTTGGACACGGATAGGTCTGTCTATTTCGACTTAGGCCTATTTAAATGTAATACCACAGGTTTACTAACTCCAATGTTATTTGAC